AACCAAACTGCTGGGAAAGTCCAAGGACCCCCTCCCTCAATTCCCCAACCTCTTCTCCCCCCCCCCAAGAGCCCCACCCCATTCAAACTCAAGTGAGGACAGACAAAAAGCTTTTTCCCCCTTTTTTTCACCCCCAAGCTCGGCTTGGTCCCCCTTTCCCCCCCAAACTTACCTAGGATTGGTTTTGTTCCAGTACACCGCGAAGCGATCCGAGATAACTTTGCTCCCGTCCTCCGTCCAGACACAAACCCCAATGAGGGCGACCACAAGCGCCGCTACCTCCGAAAGTTGCATTTTACTTGATTGGCGCTCGGTTTAACCTCCTCCTTTCTTTCTTTCTTCCTTTCTTTTTTTGGGGGGGGTGGAGGGAGAGATTTTTTTCTCTCTCCTATTTTTTCTTCACCTTTCCTTTTGTTTTTTTGCAGCGCTTTTTTTGATGCTTTAAGAAGAAGGAGGACCCCAGTTCATTTCTCCTTTTTATTTTGGCATGTTTCTTAAAAAGTCTGGGGGTGAGTGGCAGGGGTCACCAGCCCTGTAATCGCCTCCGTCTGGCTTTCTCTCTCTCTCTCTCAGCCCCCCCTCCTGCCCCCCTTTGCGGGATGCCAACTTCTTCTTTTTCTTCTTATTTTTTTTTGCAGGGGGGTGTGGAGGAAAAAAAAAACTGGGATTCCTGATTTATTGCACGGAGATGGAGCAGATTCTGTGTACCTTTGCAGTTCTTAAGATCTTCTTAGGGACGAAGTGGCGTAGCATCCTACGGTCCATCCAGGTTTCGGGAGCTCCTTGCAAAGTGATCCAGAGTTCGGGATCACAAGCTTTCGAATGGGGGAGGAGGGGGGGGGAAGTCTGTTTTGCTCTTTTTTTCCTTTTTTTCCCCCCCTTCTCTCCTAAAAAGGAGCGCTCTGCAAACTTCCTTCTCCTCCTGTGCTCCCCTTCTTAAACTCTTTGTAGGCGTGCAGCCATCCTGGCTGGAAGGACCTTCACCCACAGAGGGGGGGTTCTTCAAAAAGAGGAGAGGGGCAAAAAAAACAAAATCCAGAGGAAAAAGTCACTTAATGGAAATAAATCACTCCCTCCCCTCTCTTAACCATCTCCCAGATCTCACCAAGAAGGCAAAAAGGCAAGAAAAAGCTGTCAAGTCAGCAAGAGGAAAGTCTCAAGAGAAATCACTTCTGGATTCTGCCATGTCTAACCCTGGCAACAGCCACAAAAAAGAAGATGAAGGAATTAAAACAATTCCTGGTTTTGATTTTTTATTTTTTTTGGGAGGGGTGGGGGAGAGCTTTTCAAAGAGCCCGGCGCTTTCTTTCCCAGATGGCAAGCAGTTGCCCAGAAACAAGAATTAAATTAGGAATTCTCTCTTTTCCTCTTCTTCCACCTCCTCCTCCTCTTCGCTAAAATCAAATAAATGTACTTTTCTCTTTAAAAAAAAGAAGGTTCCAAACATACATACAGTAGGGTGTAGTCCGAATTTTCCAGTTTTAAAGAGCTTTTTTTTTGCCTTTTCTTTCTTTCTTGTGTCTTCTCTCTCTTTTTTTTGTTAAACAGAATCTGTCCCGCCGAGTTTTCCTCCTTTAAAAAAACATAAGACAAAAAGATGAATAAAACGGATCCTTTGAACTCCTTTTCTGGAGTACTTCTATTTCATTTCCTCCCCCCCCCCTTTCTTCGCTCCCCAGCAAACTCCCAAGAACGCCCCTCGCCCGTTCACACAACAGGTTTCTCACTTGCGAGAGAAAAAGACGCCTCCCCCCTCTCCCCTTCCGCCCCCACCCCCAATTTTATTTTATTTTTACTTTTCCTGCTTTTATTCCCACTTCTACTTTTCTCTTCTTCTAACAATGACGAGAGAAGCTCCCCTTATATATAAACCGAGAAGAAAGAAAGAACATAAGAGGCGCAGCGGCGCAAGCAGCATTGCAATGGGGGGGGGGAGGATGGAGAGAAGGAGGCAGGAGGAGGAGGAGGAAAGCAAAGGGGTGTGTGCGCTCTCACGCTTGTGTGTGTGTGTGTGTGTGTGTGAATATACGGGGGGGGGGAATGCAAGGTGAGTGCACAGGGGTGCCGATTTTCTCTTCCTTCCCTCCTTCCTTCCTTCCCTCCCTCCCACCCAATTTAAAATCCCAATTTAAAGGATTTTCTTTTTTTTATTAGGAATTAGCAATGCCCATCCTGCTTGGAAACGCACGTGATTCTGGATAAAACATGCTCCCCACCTTTCTCTCTCTCTCTTTTTTAAATCCCCCGTTCCGGAATCAAAAGAGGAAAAGAAAAAAAAGAAAGAAAGAAAAAGACAAGCAGCAAAGAAAGAAAGAAAGAAAGAAAAGGTAGCTAGATCCCCTCTCTCTCTCTCTCTTTTTGATGGTCCGTTTTAAAAGCTCCCCCACTTTTATTAAGAGGTCTCCCCGCCGGCTCGCCCGTTCCTGCCGGGGCTCCGCAACGCCGCTCCTGCCGCCGCCGCCGCCGCCGGCTTCCTGGCCACTCTCGCCAAAAGAGACATTGTCGCCACTTGGCCGGGAAAGCCTAAAGTAAGCGCGGCGCTTTCGCCCAACGCCCCCCCGCCCCAGCCTTGCCGTCGGGGCGGAGCCCACCCGGGCTCAAGGTTGGTTGGCCGGCGAGGGGAGAGCCCCACCTTCCGCCATGTGCGGCTCCTGCCGCCGCTCCCGCCGCCGCCGCCGCCGCCGCTCCGGCCTCTTTGAGTCAATTTCACGTCTCTGGGGAGGGTCCGGGCGAAGGCTGGGAGAAGAAGGGGAGGGAGAGGAGGAGGGGGGGGGACATTAAAACACACGACGCTTTTATTTTATTTTATTATTTGGGGAAGGAAGGGGGGGGCAATTTGGGGAAGACCCCCGCCTCCGCTCCTGCTGCTGCAAAAAAAGGTAACTCTCTCCTGCTTTCTCTTTACTTCATTTATTTCGTTTATTTGTATCCTGCCTTGGCATACATTTATTTATTTATTTATTTACTTACTTACTGATTTATTTATTTACTGATTTATTTATTTACTTAAAACAGGAGACTGGATTTATTCGCCGCCTTGAGAGTGTGTCTGTATGTGTAGGTGTTGGTTGCAAAGTCGTGTCCAACCCATCGCCAACCCCCCCACCCCACCCCCTGGAAAATGTTCCTCCAGGCCTCCCTGTCCTCTACCTAAAAGCCCAATCAGGCTTTTGAGCGCATGCGACAAGATAAGCCCTACCCCGAAAAGAAGCCCTCCCCGAAAATATTGCAACACAGCAGCAGCCATGAGGTGACCACCCTGGCCGCCTCCTGCACCTCAAAAATAATAAGACCTCCCCAAAAATAAGGCCTTAATTCCAGGGGGGGTGTCAAAAGAAAATAAGGCCCTGCCTTATTTTCAGGAAAACACTATGTGCGTGCGTGCATGCGTGTGTGTGTACGTACACATACACATAAATTATATGCGTGTGTGTGTACGTACACATACACATAAATTATATACACACATATGCATATACAGATACATATGCATATAAACAATATAATTCAAGGTGGCGAACAAATCCAGCCTCTTGTTTTTCCCACAACGACTTTGGGATGGCCCAAAGTCACTCAGTCGGTTTTCATGGCTAAGGCAGGACTGGAACTCTTTGGAATAGAATAGAGCTGGAAAGGTCCTTGGAGATCTTCTAGTCCAACCCCCTAGGGATGACAAAGATGATTAAACTAGGAAGAGTAAAGGTCTATCAATCAGTCCGAATAGAGTCGGAAAGGAACTTGGAGATCCTCTAGTCCAACCCTCTGCTCAAGCAGGAGATCCTATCTCATTCCAGACAAGTGGCTGTCCAGTCTCTTCTTAAAAGCCTCCAGTGATGGGAGCACCCACACCTTCTGGAGGCAAGCCGTTCCACTGGATAACTGTTTTCCCTGTCAGGCAGTTTCTCCTTTCTTCTAGATTGCTTCTCTACTTCATTAGTTTCCGTCCATCATTTCTTGTCTTGCCTTCTGGTGATTTGGAGAATAGGTTGACCCCCAACCCTTCCTTGTGGCCTCAAATATTGGAACGCCGGTATGTCATTCCTAGTCCTTTTCTCTAGACTAGCCCATAACGGTTGCAAGAATTGGCTATGGCCAGTCTGGAAAAAAGAAGGACTAGGGGTGACATGATAGCAGTATTTCCAATATTTGAGGGGCTGCCACAAAGAAGATGAGGTCAATTTGTTTTTTCAAAGCACCAGAAGGCAAAACGAGAAAACAATGATTGGAAACTAATTGAGGAGAGAAGCCACCTGGAATTAAGGAGAAGCTTCCTAACAGCGAGGAGAATTAACCAGTGCGATAACTTGCCTTTCGAAGTTGTGTAGGTGCTCCATCACTGGAGGTCTATGGAGATTTTCAATCATCCAGGTCGTGGTTGTCCCAAAGGTGCTTTTTCAAGAGAGAACAGGACTTCCTGGTTTTCCTTTGAAAGACGTTTCACTTCTCATCCAAGAAGTCTTCAAAGAAAAACCAGAAAGTTCAGTTGCCTCTTGGAAAAAACTCCCATCACTGGAGGTTTTTAAGAAAAGACTGGGCAACCGCCTATCTGAAATAGTATACGGTCTCCTGCTTGAGCAGGGGGCTGAACTAGAAGACCTCCAAGGTCCCTTCCAGCTCCATTCTGATTGATTGATAGTCTCCAGGCCTTTAATCGTCCTAGTTTCTCTTCTCTACGCTTTTTACAAAGTCTCAGCTTCTTTTTTGTAATGCGGTGACCAAAACAGGATGCGCTATTCCAGATGTGATCTTGCTGTGGTTTTATAAAGCAGTACTAATAACTCCTCGTCTCCTGCTTTTAAACCTGGTGCCTTAACACTAGAATCAAACTGGCTCTCTGCTTTATTGCCTTTTGTCCCAAAGTTTTGTAGGTGGATCCCAGGTAAATACCCGCGCGAATCACTTTCCTCTATGCCCCCCCCCCACCGATAATTTATCAGTCAGTCATATTTAAGATCCACCCATTTTCTTCACAGAGGCATTGTGCAATAAAATATTTAAAAAGTTAAATAGAGGCTAGAATTGTTAAAATTAATTAAAAGGTGTGAGGTGAGAGAGACTTCCATTTTCTCCCCTTCCTTCCTGTCGGCTGAATGGATTGGATGGGAGTTGATGTTGCTGTCCATAGAAGCAGTCCCTAGACTTATAACGATTCATTTAGTGACCATTCAAAGTCACAACAGCACTGAAAAAAGTGACTTATGGCCATTTCCCCCCCATTTATGACCGTTGCAGCATCCCTGTGATTTATATTCAGAAGCTTGGTAACTGCTTCATATTTATGACGGTTGCAGTGTCCCGGGGTCATGTAAACAGTTGTTAAATGCAGCACTGCAGGCTACTTCAGCTGACTGCAGTTCTGCAGTTCGGCTGTTCAAATCTCACCGGCTCAGGGTTGACTCAGCCTTCCATCCTTCCGAGGTGGGTAAAATGAGGACCCGGATTGTTGGGGGCAATATGGTGACTCTGTATATAAGTGGTACATAAGTCTAACTGCTGTTGCTGTTGCTATTGCTATCCCCTTTTGCAACCTTCTGGCAGACAAAGTCGATGGGGAAT